TCTTGAGTAACTGCTAGAAATGATGGGACTGTAATGGAGAGTATGGTCTTCTTCACCTGCAGTTTTGTCCGTATACAGAACTATTCAGGAATCAAGAACCCAAAAGTACAATATTTAGTTATTTGTTTGGAAAGCATATTCAGAAATGTAAAAACCATATAATCATCTGTACCCTAGGAACAAAAAAAAATATAAAAAGTTCTCAAATTTTAATTTTCTAGAGAATAAAAAGTTAAATCTAATAAAAAAATTTGTTTTGCTAATGTTTACGAAAAGGTCCATAAACGTAATGTTGGGAGGCTACTAAAAGTTACTTCTTGAAGCCCATATTTAATTTAATATGATTATAGTTTCTTGAAGACCACGTGGCTTAATTTTTTTGTGTTTGAATACATTGCATTTGTTTCGATATAATGCATTTGAGAATAGGTGATGATTAGGTTGTGGTCTGTCTGAAGACTTCTCCTCTATTGTCGTTCCAGTGACAACTCCAAATTTTGGATTTCTTCTCATTCATCTCTTCTTCATTCCCAATGACAATGGTCATCAGGACAAAAACAGAACACGAAGCTCAGCTCAGCAGCATTTAAACAAATAAAACAAATGTTTTTTCAGCAATATAATAAATACACCATCTAACGATCTGCTTTAAAAACAGACGTTGTTGCAACCAAAACCAAATTTTGTTTTTTGGATACTGTAGCAATCATGCACACAGAGATGGACGCGGTTATCTATTTTGCTCCAAACCCCTTCATTTCGTATCTCTCTCTCCTAAATCAGCTTTCCTCATCCCCCCTCCCTCTCTGTTGAGTGACATGTGGTCTGTTTGATGCAGATCCCAGGCAGCAAACTCATTGGGAGGGCGTCATGGTTATAAATCTCACAACTAGCTGGTGCCCCTCTGTCTACGAGACTCCTGCTGGAGAAGGGGTCGTAACGCCATAAACCGAGCCCTCGCTGAGCTTCAAAAGACATTCCAGGGAGTCGTAAATACAGACTTACATTTAAAAACTCACTTTTCCATATAATTTTATATCTCCAAATTGGAAATAATTACACAAACGTGGAACACATATTCGGATGGCTCATGGTAAGACAAGTCGCCTGGTATATTACACCCCCTATCTGACATATACAGGAGAGCAAAAAATTATATCTCCTTAACCATTCAAACAGATATTTCATATTTCATATCTAACCGTTCAGCAGATGATTCTGGGTATTAATCTACTCGTGGATAGAATGTTATATGTACTTAGGAAAAGTTATTGGCCATAGTATAATTTGTGAAGGCTTTGGTCAAAGACTGAGCTCCCAGCCTACACAACCCCCTTCAGAAATGAGGCGACTGGTTCTCTGTTTCAGGGAGACACCCTGTGGAGGTCCTAGAAAAAGCTAAGAAAAGCTGAGTTGAGCTAAGTTGAAGAATTCTCCCTTTTTAACATCGGAACCAACTTTGGGAGAAAACGCCCCTTTTGCCCAGAAAACTTGAAAGCTGCTTAACCCGAGGCTTTTGGCAAGTATTTATCTATCTCAATTCCTTTCTGTTATCTCTTTGCTGTGCTATTGCTGTCTGTATATATATTGGCTACATCTTTTTCTGTAAATATTTTTATTGCACCCTTTTGACCTTTTAGTAATAAGTCTTACTTTCTGAAAGTGTTGAACTGTTTCTAAAGCTCTTTAATGCAAACTCAGAACTCCTGCCTCTGCCCGTGTGTGTGTTTTAAACTTCGGTATATTGCTGCCTGCGGTGACAGTGGTATACAGACGATTATTCAACCATCATAGTGTTATTGCTGATATTGCCGAGTTTCCACTTTCTCTATACAAAAAGGAGGTGGTGGCAGTGTGAAGGGTTACTTGCGTAATTAACCTGACCCAGTAACAATCGCGCTCAGGCTGCAGGTACATCGATTGTGGTCCATTAGCTGGAAAATCGTTGTGCAGAGTGCAGCTGGGCATGGCATTGTTACGCACATGACAGCGCGGTTTTAGATTGGCTAGTCCTTCGGTCACGAGTTGGTGAGAAGGGCTGGGGTCTGACGCCGCGATCGTCTCAGATACCTGGTAAGTATGCAGGAAATTTTTTTTTTTGTTCCGTGTAAAGCCCCTCCTTGTGCACCTTACTTTAGAAAATAAGTGTACGTTGCGATTTTAGTTTTTACCCCTTACTTACTTTATCCACAGTGAAGAAAATAGTTTTAGATACACTTTAAGGTAATAAAGAAGTGCATATTTATATTATACAGTCACTGATAGAGGACATTTTGGAAAATCTCCCATAAAAAAAAATCAATGCCATAAAACCACCTTTGTTAAGTTGAGTGTACCAATGTAACGACTTATTATTTATTTATTACAGGTACTTATATAGCGCTGTCAATTTACACAGCGCTTTACATATATATTGTACATTCACATCAGTCCCTAACCCTCAAGGTATGTACAATCTAAGGTCCCTAACTCACATTCATACATACTAGAGCCAATTTAGACAGGATCCAATTCACCTACCAGCATGTCTTTGGAGTGTGGGAGGAAACCGGAGTACCCGGAGGAAACCCACGCAGAAACAGGGAGAACATGCAAACTCCAGGCAGCTGGTGCCGTGGTTTGATTTGAACCAACGACCCTAGTACTGCCAGGCAGAAGTGCTATCTATTTAGCCACTGTTGAGGTTTGTAATTTTGTCTGTACATATGTTGGAAAGAATCTTAATTTCCTTTTCAAAAAAATAGCATTCACAAGGACAGGAACAAAGGGGAAATCTCCAACAACAGGCATCCAGATGGCAATTAAAACCCAATAAATCTTCTAATCCTTTCTACCTCTATCCAAAACATAAAAGTCCGCATCTACACTTTAACAAAAAAAAATGATTCAAGGCTTTTTTGTTTGTACATATCTGTATGGCATGTAATTTTAACATGCAACCTTATATTCTGATCCAGTAGATTTTTAAAATATATAACACATTTTTAAAATCTGAAAGCGACACTAAACAATATCCTTATTCTTCAAAAATAATGCACTTCTTAACCACATGTGGACTGCCAGCCTGCAATGTACTACGTACCTGTGTGTCGCTGCCTGCTTCCGAGTTTTAGGATGCGCATGCATGCCCCCCCCGCCGGCACCCACTGTGATTGTACACAGGGGGAACCTGTCAGGAAGTCTCGACCAATGATTCATGGCCGGGACCTGCTGATTGGCTGTGTACAATCACAGCCCACAGCTCTGTGCTGACAATCAACACAGACCTCTGTAAAAGAGAATGATCTCTGTTTCTCATCCCTGCAAACCAGGGATGGGAAACAAAGAGATCATTAACCACTTGCCCTCCTGAGGATTTACCCCCCTTCTTGACCAGGCCTCTTTTTGCTACTCGGCGCTGCACTAATTCAACTGATAATTGCGCGGTCATGCAATGCTGCACCCAAACGAAATTTACGTCCTTTTTTCACACAAATAGAGCTTTCTTTTGGTGGTATTTGATCACCTGTGTGCTTTTTATTTTGCACGCTATAAACAAAAAAAGACCAAAAATTTGAAGAAGAAAAACAATATTTTTTACTTTCAGCTATAAAAAATATATAGTTAACTCAAAATTAGTTATAAATTTAGGCCAAAATGTATTCTGCTACTTGTTTTTGGTAAAAAAAATCCCAATAATTGTATATTAATTGCTTTGTGTGAAAGTTATAGCGTCTACAAACTATGGTATAGATACTGCAATTTACGCCATTTTTTTGCTGCGCTAGTTTAATTGACAATTGCGCGGTCATGCAATATGGTACATAAATTAAATTTATGTCCTTTTTTTCACACAAATAGAGCTTTCTTTTGGTGGTATTTGATCACCTGTGCACTTTTTATTTTTGGCGCTATAACCAGAAAATTTTTGAAGAAAAAATTTTTTTTTGAAAAAAAAACAATATTTTCTCATCCAAATAAACAAAAATTTCATCATAAATTTAGGCCAAAATGTATTCTGCTACATGTTTTTGGTTAAAAAAATCCCAGTAAGTGTCTATTGATTGCTTTGTGTGAAAGTTATAGCGTCTACAAACTATGGTATAGATAATGGAATTTACACAGCTTTTACTTTCTGACCGCCCATCACATTTCTTGAGGTGCTAAAATACCAGGATAGTACAAACACCCTCAAATGACCCCTTTTCGGAAAGTAGACACCCTAAGCCAGTGGTGGCGAACCCGTGGCACGCGTGCCACAGCCGGCACGCCGAGCCTTATCTGTGGGCACGCCAGGAGAATCCAGCGGCGCGCTGTCTTCCCGGCTGTAGTGTGCGTGACAGCCGGGTCCCAAGTGCGCATGCACAAGAAGCAGTGCTCCTTGTGAATGGTAAGGCGGTACCTGGGACACATGACAGATCCCAGAAGCCGCCGGACCAATCACAAAGCGCAGCGCTTCTCGCGCATGCGCACTGGGCATCCGGCTGTCCGACGAGCGCCCACACTACAGAAGCCGGGAAGACAGCGCGCGGCTGGATCGAGGAACAGGTAAGATAAAAAAAAAAAAAAACTCTGCGGAAGTAAGAGCGGGTACCTGTCAAATTCAGGTACCCGCTCCCCCTCCCTCCCCAAAGGTCAGCAGTCATCCCTGTGCTGTCCGCAGTCTCTGGTCATCCCTGTGCTGTGTCCCCAGTCTCTGGTCATCCCTGTGCTGTGTCCCCAGTCTCTGGTCATCCCTGTGCTGTGTCCCCAGTCTCTGGTCATCCCTGTGCTGTGTCCCCAGTCTCTGGTCATCCCTGTGCTGTGTCCCCAGTCTCTGGTCATCCCTGTGCTGTGTCCCCAGTCTCTGGTCATCCCTGTGCTGTGTCCCCAGTCTCTGGTCATCCCTGTGCTGTGTCCCCAGTCTCTGGTCATCCCTGTGCTGTGTCCCCAGTCTCTGGTCATCTCCTGTACTGTGTCCGCAGTCTCTGGTCATCTCCTGTACTGTGTCCCCCAGTCTCTGGTCATCTCCTGTACTGTGTCCGCAGTCTCTGGTCATCCCTGTACTGTGTCCGCAGTCTCTGGTCATCCCTGTACTGTGTCCGCAGTCTCTGGTCATCCCTGTACTGTGTCCGCAGTCTCTGGTCATCCCTGTACTGTGTCCGCAGTCTCTGGTCATCTCCTGTACTGTGTCCGCAGTCTCTGGTCATCTCCTGTACTGTGTCCGCAGTCTCTGGTCATCCCTGTACTGTGTCCGCAGTCTCTGGTCATCCCTGTACTGTGTCCGCAGTCTCTGGTCATCCCTGTACTGTGTCCGCAGTCTCTGGTCATCCCTGTACTGTGTCCGCAGTCTCTGGTCATCCCTGTACTGTGTCCGCAGTCTCTGGTCATCCCTGTACTGTGTCCGCAGTCTCTGGTCATCCCTGTACTGTCCGCAGTTCTGGTCATCCCTGTACTGTGTCCGCAGTCTCTGGTCATCCCTGTACTGTGTCCGCAGTCTCTGGTCATCCCTGTACTGTGTCCGCAGTCTCTGGTCATCCCTGTACTGTTAATTAGTTTGCACTACTGTACGAGTTGTTTTTTCTAAACCAAAAGCTCGATATTCAGGTTTCATTGCAGTGTTGGCACTTTGAAAGAAATAAGTTGGTTTTGGGTTGCAGTTTGGGCACTCGGGCTCAAAAAGGTTCGCCATCACTGCCCTAAGCCATTTGCTGAGAGGCATATTGAGTCCATGAAAGATTTATTTTTTTTTCCACAAGTTTCTGGAAAATGACAAAAACATTTTTTTTTTTTTTTTTTAAAGATTTATTTCTTGCACAAGCCATGGGTATATGTGGAATACCACCCCAAATACATTCTACTACTTCTACCGAGTATGGGGATACCACGTGTGTGAGACTTTTTGGGAGCCTAGCCTCATACAGGAGCCTGAAATCCAATGACCACTTTGAAAGCCTGAAGGTGCGTATTTTCCTCATTACACTTCCTCACTACCCATTACAGTTTTGAAGGCCCTGACATGCCAGGATAGCACCAACCCCCCCCTCAAATGACCCCTTTCTGGAAAGTAGACACCCCAAAGAATTTAAAAAGAGGCATGGTGAGTATTTTGCAGATCTAATTTTTTCTTACAAGGTTTTGAATTAGAAAAAAAAAATAGAAAAAATATGTTTTTGTTTTTTTTCTTCATTTTCCAAAAACATGTGGCAACAAATGAGATCTGCAAAATACTTACCGTGCTTCTTATCAAATTCCTTGGGGTGTCTATTTTCCAAAAAGGGGTCATTTGGGGGGGGTTAGGTGCTATCCTGGCATTTCAGGGCCTCCGAAACTGTGATAGGTAGTCTGGAAGTGTAATGAGGAAATAAAGCCCTTTAAAAGCCTGAAGGTGCTTATTGGATTTTGGGGTCCTGTACTTGGCTAGACTGCCAAAACGTCTCTCACATGTGGTACCCCCATACTCGGGAGAAGTAGCAGAATGTAGTTTGGGGAGTAATTCCACATATACCCATGGCATGTGTGAGCAGTAAATCATTTAAGTAACAATTTTGTGTAAAAAAAAAAAAAAAAAAAAAAAATTGATAATTCAACATGCCTCTCAGAAAATAGTTTGGGGTGTCTACTTTCCAAAAAAGGGTCATTTTGGGGGTGGGGGCATTCTATGCCCAGCATTAGAAGTTTATGTCACACATAACTCACTCTTCTAACCACCTGAAGACCAAGCCTTTTCTGACACTTTTTGTTCACATGAAAAAAAATCTGTATTTTTTGCTAGGAAATTAATTTAAACGCCCAAACATTATATATTTTTTACAGCAGACACCCTAGTGAATAAAATGGTGGGTACAACAATTTATTATGGCACATAGTACTCACGCAGCGATTTTTCAAAAGCAAATTCTTTTTTAAAAATACACTTTTTTACTTTTAATGGACAAAAACATAATATATTGGCCAATTATTTGGTAAAATATAAAAGATAATGGTATGTCGAGTAAATAGATACCAAACATGAAATTACAGAGGAGGTCTAGTGTTAGAATTACTGCCCTTGATCTGAAGTTCACAACAAATACCTCACATGCATGGCGCAACCGCTGTTTACATAACGGCACAGGGTCAAAGCTTGTGCACACAGGTGTGCGCGCATGGGAGGGGCATTTTTTTTTTTTTTTTTTTTTAGTTATTTTGATTTTTTTTTATTATTTTTACATTGTACCTTTCATTTTTTTTTTTTTTTTTTGATCACTTTTAATGCTATAACAGGGAATGCAAATATCCCCTATAACTTCAATGGGCATTGTCATATATTCTTTTTTGAGAAATCTGGGGTCTATCAGACTCTGGATATCTCCTCTGCCCTTACATTATCTAGTCAAACCAAAATCGGTGTGATCAGATGCTTTCCCAATTTACAAATGGCGCTGTTTATATCCTGCGAAACTGAAGTGATGAAATGCTTGTAGCTTCCGAATTCTTAAGACTATAGAGATGATTGGCACCACTCTGGCCTCCAATCAGCTCTATGGTCAGCTGGCAGAAACACCGGCTGCATTCTCAGGTTCCCCTGAAGGCACAAGACTGCCTGAGAAGGCTGTGGAAGGCAGCGGGGGGAGAGGGGGCATCATCTCCCACTGCTTGTAAAAGCAATCCTACAGCTAATTAGCCACTAGGATTGCTTTTACATTAAAGCCGATCGCCGGCCGAAAAAAATGATACCAGGATTATGCCTGCAGCTGTAGGCATCATCCTGGTATAACCATTCAAAGTCCAGTGATGTACAAGTACTTTGCTGGTCTTTGTTGGGTATATATACTATGTTCTTTTTTTTTTTGTATGCAGCCTGTGGACTGAATGAAAAAATTAGAAGAAATCTCTGCCAGAAAAAAGTGTGTGGTATGCCCACACCGCCCTGCATCCACCCACTTCTAATGGTGGGCACACATTAGGTCACACTTTGCCACAAGCGCCAGTTCCAAGATTGAACAAATGTCTAAATAGTTGCACGCTTGAATAAAAATTGTCCATGTATAAGTGCTACCCCATATGAAAAAAGAATGACACCAAATCCCAAACTATCTTGCCACTGCTCCCCATGTAGTCTGGGCATCCAGGGGGCTCCACGTGACTATCTTTTCCCTCATTAATCCAAAACTTATTAGTATAGCCTGTTGTCCTCTCACAGGTCTTCTACATCTTGACCCCATATCTGGCACGCTTGCAGGGGAGAAATTGTTTGAATGCAAGGCTGCCAGAAAAATTAATGAGGGACTCTTCCACGCAGATGTTTTGCTGGGGAGTATAGACATCTGCAAATTTTTGGTTAAGGTGATTTGCGAGGGGCTGAATTTTGTGGAGCTGGTCAAATTCAGGGTCACCCCGGATGACAGAGTGTATTGTCATTGAAATGCATAAAACACATTATACTCTCATATCTATGCCTGGCCATGGCAGCAGAGAACACAGGCATATGATGAATCGGGTCTGCGAACCAATACAACCGCAATTCATTTCTTTTAGTAATGCCCATGTTGAGGGTTAGGCCCAAAAAAAATGTAAATTCGAAAACCGTAATGAGTTTCCATGCAAATGGTCTGGCAAGGTTTGAATTTGGGTTGGCGGCGATAAAATTGTTGTGCATATAAATTGCTTTGATCCACAATCAACGCATACAGATATTCTGTGAAAAACAGCTCCAAAATTCAAGGAGGTATGTGAAAGACCAAGATGTACTAGACCGCTGGCACTCGCCAGTTCACCAAAAGGTAGAGCGGCACTAGTACTGGCACTGCTGCATATGAGAGTCATCAAAATTTACCAGCAAGTGCTAACAGAGATCAGGCCTGATTCTGCAAACACTGCGGTTTTGTGTGCAATGTATCAAGTGACAGTGACCTACTGACACTGCACTTGCTGGGGGAGAAGGGGGGGTTAAGCGTAGGGGCTAAACGCAGGTGCTGGCAGGTGCCGGGACTGATCCCACTAACGCGGCATTTTTGGGGATGCTATACTATTGTAAACGCTGGTATAGTGCTGATCTGATCAAGAGATATTGACCCGTTCAGACACTATACTAGCAATGGAGGTTTATTGTGCAAGAGCGTGCTCCTGGCAATCAAGGGGTTAAATGTGATGACTGATGTACTGACGGGCAATCTGACGCTATCTGGGAGGTGCGTGAAAACCACGGGAGCATGAATCACGTATATATATATATATATATATATATATATATATATATATATATTGTGGGGTTAGCTCAGGTGGGCGATCTCCTTCCCTGGGAAAACAAAACATCAAAATAAACCCTTGCCATCCAGGCACTAACTAAACAGGAGACGTTTCCTCTCTCAGAGGTGAAGGGGTTCTCCCTGTCACCCAAAACAAAACAAAAGCAAACCTTTTCTTGTAGGTATAGTACACACACACAGCTCTCTCAGAATACCTCTCTGAGTCCCAGGCCACGAGCAACTCCTTGCTCCAGCCCTGCCTCCTTTATACCAGGCAGGGCTGTTGGTGGTCATCAGTGGAGCACAAACTCCGGTCCGGAACCACCTCTGCCATTGTGGCCCCGAAAACCCGGAGTGGACTCCACCTTACACCTCACAGTATGACCTCATGTAAGGTGACACATATCGTCCATCCATCACTTTGCCGTTCATACTGTCACATATCCCCCCCCCCCTCTGCTCAAGCCCCTGCGGCTGAGCAACTGTCCCAACCAGGCAATGGACCCGGGAGAGGGCATCTACATTGCTTTGCAGTTTCCCCGCTCTGTGTTCCACCGTAAATCTTAACGCTTGTAGCACAAGAAACCACCTTGTCACTCGGCTATTTTTCTCCTGGTTATCGCACATCCATTTGAGCGGGGCATGATCAGTAACCAACTTGAACTGTCTTCCTAACAGGTAATATTTCAGGGCCTCCAAGGCCCATTTGATGGCCAAACCTTCCTTCTCCACAATGACATAGTTTCTCTCATGTTTGTTGAGCTTTCTACTTAGGAAGACCACAGGGTGCTCCTCCCCATCTCTGATTTGGGACAGTACAGCACCTAGTCCCACGTCAGAGGCATCAGTCTGTACCACAAACTCTGTTGTGAAATCTGGGGTCACTAGCACTGGTTTGGGCACAGAGAGCTTGTTTCAGCCTTTGAAATGCGGTCTCCGCCTCAGGATTCCACTTAATCATGACCCCCCTACCTTTTTTCAGATCTGTCAGTGGGGCTGCAATGGTGGCAAAATTGGGGATAAACCGCCTGTAGTATCCTGTGATCCCAAGAAATGCCCGGACTTGCTTTTTATTTACCGGTTGGGGCCACTTTTGAATTGCCTCGATTTTATTTATCTGAGGCCTAATGAGACCTCGACCAATAATGTAGCCAAGATATTTGGCCTCCTCCAAGCCTATGGCACACTTTTTGCGGTTGGCGGTAAGACCTGCTTCCCTCAGCGAATCTACTACCGCTTGCAAGCGGGACAAATGAGACTCCCCAGTCTGGACTGTGGATGACGACATCGTCCAAATAGGCAGCTGCATATTGGCGATGTGGTCTTAGCATTTTGTCCATCATTCGTTGGAATGATGCCGGAGCACCATGTAAACCAAACGGCATCCGCTTATACTGTGAAAGGACCCCTCGGGGTAGAGAGAATGCCGTCTTTTCTTTTGCAGCTTCCGTTAAAGGAATCTGCCAATAGCCTTTGGTTAAATCTAAGGTGGTTATGTACCGAGCCGTTCCCAACCTGTCAATGAGCTCATCCACCCGAGGCATCGGGTACGCATCAAATTTAGACACACTGTTCAGTTTCCTGAAATCATTACAGAAA